AAATGAACAAATATTAAACATTGTTATCTAATATCTATTTATATTACTGAACGATGACTGCGTATCGGTCATAGGTCAAATAATATTTTCTATGAAAGTACTTTGATTTTCAAATATATGCATAATCACAGTTGGTTTTTTCAAATTGTTGAAATATACTCAGCGATGTATAAAAACTTGATTACTTTTAAGAACATCATATCTCGATTTTCTTAAAATTACAATCTATGAATAACGTACTGTATGTGGGAAATTCGAAAGATTGAGTGTGACAACTCTGTGTCAGATCGGCATTCAGTTCAAATCTATAGCTAGACTAATAATTTGATAATAATATATTATATATAAATATTTAGATCATGGTATATTAGAGCATGCAACATCATTTTTAATGTTTGTTCGACGAGTTAAAAATCTTCAAGTATCTGATGCTACTCCAATAGTTGTACATTGTTCAGCAGGTGTCGGTCGTACTGGTTGTTTTGTTGTCATTGATGCATTATTAGAACGATTAAAATATGAAAAAACAATTGATATATATGGTCATGTTACTTTATTACGTGCTCAACGGTAAGAATTTTTTCGAAAACATCGACTTACAATCAAAGTTTTTTCTTCTTTTCGAATATGATTTTTAAGTTTTTATAGGATCTTTGATTAAGAAGTTAGAAGTTAACCTTTAAAAGTCGCAAAAATTAAGTTTAAACATAGAACATTGACTTCTTTTACAAAGAATTACATGCGAAATCTTTCTCTACAAAATGCTTCAAGAATTAAAGTTTTCAAAACAATCATTCAGAAATGTCCGAGTTCATATACTACAAGTCTACTTTTCATTTCTAGAGTTCTATAAGAAGCTGAAAAATGATTGAACATTTTTTTTTCTCAAATTATTTTTCATTTATTCGTTATAATTAATATTATAATATTTTTTTTTCGTTATAGAAATTATATTGTTCAAACTGAAGAACAATATATATTTATTTATGAAGCAATCAATGAAGCTATACAATCAGGACAAACCGAAGTATCAGCTAGAAATTTATTAACACATTTACAAAGACTTTTACAACCCATAAATGATAGTTCATTAACAGAAATGGAACTTGAATTTAAAGTAAAATAATCTTAAAAAGAAAATTATATTTTGAAAAAGAATATGATTTGTTCTTTTGTTATTTAGCGTTTAGCAAATATTAAAGCTCAACCATCGAAATTTATTAGTGCAAATAATCCATCAAATAAATTTAAAAATCGTCTTGTGAATATTTTACCATGTAAATATAATTTATTCAATAATTTTTCTCCACTTAATGCCTTTTTTTTATTAGATGAAAATACTCGAGTATGTTTATCTCCAATACGTGGTATTGATGGATCTGATTATATTAATGCATCGTATATTGATGTAAGTTCAATAAAGAAAAAAATAAGACGAAATTTGTCAATGTTCAATTGCTTCCCTCGAAAAATTCTATCAACTTGTACTAGAAATATTAAAGATTTAGGGGATTTATCAATTAATAGCATATACAACATTATCACTATAACAAAATAGAACCATGGTTCCAATAGCCTAGCCTAATCCCTTCAGTTTGATAATAAAATGTATAATGAGATTTATAGATAAATTTAAAAAAAAAAAGAATCCTAAAAGCTGCTAAGTTTTTATTCCTAAATGACAACATTCCTTTTAGATCGTGTTCCATAAAATATTTTTCCGAGAAGTGATTATGAACTCATAGGTTTTCCTATTAGATATGTAAGAGAATGAAAAAAAATTTAAGAACAATCTATTTATAATTTCTTTGTTCTATAATGTTAATTCTTTGAGTATCAGCGTACTTTGTATAGTATATATTTTCTAAGTTTCTGAATTTTTCAATAACTAGTGAACATGACATGATGTCAAAATACGGTTTTATCTATGACGTAGAACAAATGATACTCTTTTGTAATTCTCAAAATATTTCAATTTTCCATATTGAAACCAAGTGACGAGTAGCTCCTAGTGATATACCAAAGGTTGATTTGGCGGCAACCCTTAATTGAATTTTGACCCACATTCATCACCCTTCATGGAGATGAACAGAAGATGACTTTAAAGGTTTTTGAAAAAGTTTTGATGAAAATATCAACAAAACACACGGCACATAATATTTATCAAAGCTCAAAGAAATTTCCTTCACTGATTAAGCAATGGTACTAGGAAGGCTCAGCGATTAGCTCAATTTCAAGATAGTTATTTTAATAATCAATGAAATATTTTCTCTAATGCATTCTATAGCAAGATTTCTAATCGTTTCCAGGTCCTAGAAGCTATTTTTTTAACAACACCATCTTAAAGGGAATAAAATGAGGAGTTACTGAATTTTCTACGACTTTTTCTTACAAAGCTGACAGTATCATAACAAAGCGATTTTTTTTTGATAAAATTTCGGTTCTTGTGATACTTTTAGCTTTTCAAGGAAAGGTCATAGGAAAATGCAGCAACCCCTCATTGTGTTCTTTTGAAAATAGTATTATTAAAAAATAATAGCTAGTACCCAAAAACTATTGTATCTGTTTTTTAGAAATCTTGTTACATGAGATCTTGCTATATAGAAACACTTAGTTGTTAAATTTTCTTTTCATCATCTTATAATTGTTTATTGATGAAAATTTTAGAGTTATCGATTTAAAAATGGTTACATTGCTACACAAGGACCATTAAATGAAACAATTGATGATTTTTGGAGAATGATATGGGAACATAATGTAACAATAATTGTTATGCTTACAAAATTAAAAGAAATGGGAAGAGAAAAATGTGCTCAATATTGGCCAATAGATCGATCAATACGTTATGGATATTTTATTGTTGATCCACTTGGAGAATATCATATGTCACAGTATTTATTAAGTGAATTTAAATTAACTGATTCAAGAGTAAAAGAAATTTATTGGAATAATTTATTGAGATTTATTTTTCTTTTTTTTTTTTTGTCGGATTTTTAAGGATGGTCAATCTCGAACTATTCGACATTTTCTTTATACGGAATGGCCTGAACAAGGTGTACCTAAAGTTGGAGAAGGATTTATTGATTTCATAGGACAAGTACATAAAACTAAAGAAGGTTTTGGTCAAGATGGTCCAATTGTTGTACATTGTTCAGCTGGTAGGAAGTATTGTTTTAATTTTAATAAAAAATGATTTCTTTTTTTTTTCGTTCAAAGGTGTTGGAAGAACTGGTGTATTTCTAACATTAAGTATTGTACTTGAACGAATAAGATATGAAGGTGTTATTGATGTATTTCAAACGGTGAAATTATTACGTACACAACGACCAGCACTTGTTCAAACAGAAGTAGAAAAAAAAACATAAATCCAAAAGTTTTTTTTTAAATAATATTTTATTTATTTTTCTAGGATCAATATCAATTTTGTTATCGTTCAGCACTTGAATATTTAAGTTCATTTGATAATTTGATATGATCGTAATTCCTAGTCAACACAGTGACATGTAGCTGAAGATATCTTTTCTTTTTTTGATAATATGCGAATTTAATGTGATGTTCACGAGAAAATTATTATTATGAATATGCTAGAGCTTTTTTTTTTTTCTATATTATGTATAGATATTTGTTCTTGTTTCTTTTCCTTTTTCTTTTTTTTTTTATATTATTTTTCTAATCAAATGATGTTCAGCCTTAATTATTGTTCTATGAATGCTGTTTTTCTTGTGTGCCTGTAATGTTTATTGAAAATTTAAATATTATTATGAGACAATCGAATTCTATGAATTTAGAATATTTTATGAGAAAGAATTAATTTCTACGTACTTAAAATACGAGATCAAATAGCATAGATGTTTCTTTTATTATAATCAAACAATAATCTATTAAAAATTCCAGGGTAGTAATTATATATATTTCATTCATGATAGGAAAGCAACTGTAATTGGTTAGAGAAGCTGAAAACAAAATCATGTCATAGAGAAAAAGGAAGTCGAATCGTGGAAGAAATATATCCAAGAGTATTGACCCTGAAGAGATGTCATCTGTCTCATTTGTATAGATACTTTCATTTATTTCCATACGTCGTACTTTGCTTGATATATAAAAATAATGATGAATCATAGTAAGTACAATAAGATGAAACATCGTAGAAATTTTATTTTCTATATACTTAAGTGTTCAACAATTGTGAAACTTTCAAACTTTTCTGCTTCATCGAATATTTTGATAATTTCCTTCTTAAAAAAATAGAAAAAAAGCATACAATCTTGAATATGCCTAATACATGCTTCAATGATATTATCTGATAAATTTTTTCACATGGATTAAAGAGTACAGCTATCGTAATTAGGTAGATAACATGTTATATTTTAGAAGACGTTCATTGAATGAAAAAGAAAAGACCATGGAAAATTCTAAGAATGAAACCATGCTTGGAGTTCAAGAGATGTAAAGCTTTTTTAACCCTTTAACGGTCGGTGGGACAAATATGTCCCACTTTTTGTTTTCGATCGCAGAACTATAATAAACTAGCATTAATGACTCTAGTAGAAAGAACAACGATACTGCATAGACGGAATTAATTTTTGGCTATCCGAGTTCAAGTAACAGTGTTTATTTGTTTTTTCAACAGGAATTTTTGAAGAAGATCATCACCAATTCTCACTCGCAAAATAACTTTGACCATCCAAAATTCGTCCATTAAAGGGTTAATTAGTGAGTTAATAAGTTGTACTCTACTGGAGAAATTAGTTTTTTTATTATCTTGAATCTTAACTCGAAAAAGTTTAGATTTTCCATATATGTGTCAAAAGGTTTAGGATTAGTTTTTTTAATTTTGTTAATTCTACTGGCAAACACCATATAGAGAATTGATCAAATTATTGTCAAAAATAGTTTTACAGTAAATAGAACACAAATCGAATCATTTTTTTTTCAAAAAATCAGTTTGTTATATTTACAAAGGAAAGAAAAACGTGTTTTTTTTTTATCAAGTCAAATATTTATCGTTGTTGAAATTCGATTTCTTCAACGAGACGATTAACCCAATCAGGAACGATTGTTGTTCGATGAGCAATATATGTTCCACGATCTGTTCGACAAAGAATAAAATCTCCATTTTCACTATTTTTCATTGTTGCTGGACGAATACGTTCAACAATACCATCTGATGCAAATCTAATGAATGGTACATTATCCGAACGTTTTTCTATCATTGTTGTTGTAGCAGAAAGAGATAATGGAGGCGATTTTGTCGATTGTGGAACATATGGCAACAATGATTCGTTTAATGTAGATGAAGAATAGTTAGAATTCAAACCAATACCTGAATCATCATCCGTAAACGAACCATAATAATTAGTTAAATTTGTTTTAGCCATTATTTAATACTTCTAAAAATTATTGCATGAGTATCCAATTCTATTATTCAAATAACTGATGAAAAAACTATTCAAGTTGATGTCAATCGTCAATATGTGTTTTTTTTCTTTTTGTTATTGATAATTAGCTTCATTTTTATATGAATAGAAGAAGAAAAAACAAGAATCTTATCGATGTCATGTATGTTATTTTATCCTAATACTGTTTTCATACACTTGTCAGAAGAATATATAACGGAAGTAAAGGAAGAAAAGCTCTTTAAAAAAAATAAATAATTATTGTAAGTACACTTTACTTTATTCTTTTTTTTGAAACGAATGAGTCATTAAAAAAATTTTCTTTTCAATATGACTCACTTGTTTACCATAAGGAACATTGCATATTGAGAGAGTTGAAGAGTCGACTTTTTTTTGTGCCAGATGGATCGAGCTGAAATTTTAGGATATGAATTATGACTAATATTTACACATCTTGTGAAAGTTTCATCTTTATACATATAATGGTTGCAGAGATATTTATTTTTGTAGTTAGGTGGCGCAAAAAAGTCGATTTTTCAACTCTCTCAATATGTTGCTAATGCGTCAATAGAAAAAACAAACGCTTTTTCACTTAAACAAACATCAAAATATGTCAAAAGAGAAAGAAAGAATTGACAAAAACAATTCTTATGTCTATTTATTAACATCGGTTTTTAAACGGCCTACTCCTTTTTAGAATTTTGAGATTTCTATACATTAGTGCATCTGGTACTTTGCCAGATTAGCGACATCACAGTACCTCCATTGTTTGATATACTCCGCCAGTTATATCAATTAGTAAATAGAATGTCACCAATCTGGAGAGCAACCAAACATATGTCTTGATAATTACTTATTTTTTTTAGTGTCGGCGAAAGATACTAACCATATATTAACAAATGAATATATTTTTAGAAATTACTCATTCAATGAAAATAATACAAAAAATCGAACTAAAAATGTCGAATAAAAAATGAATTGATGAATGTATGTGTGTGTTTTTTTTCTCCACATAAGAGATAAAAGTGGTTGTTTTCATTATATACTTCGATGTCTATCGCATTACTTATTCAATATACATTATATATTCACACGGTGTCATTTACATGTCCTATGATGTATTACTTTGATTAAAGAAAAGGACATCAAAGTTAATAATTCATAATTAAAACATAATAGTTTCATTAGTTTTGGTTCTGTTGAATTGAAAAAATGGAGCAAAGAACTTATCGTAATTCATATTTTTTTGTTATTTATATGAATCACTAAATTTTTTCATTGAATAGAATATGACATATAGTAATTATGTTCAAGGGAAAACATAATTGTGAGCAGTAACTCGTCAAACAAACGATTTGTATTTCATAATAAAATAACTAATAGGATTTATGGAAAACCTCTAAAGAAGTAAAGGCAGAATGTTATTGAAATGTTTTATATCAAAGCAATTAGTATTCAAAGAATTGCTCAATTAATTATATTGGTATTAGTCTTAGGATGTTGTTTTTAGAAGAAAGTGACTTTATATTCATTAATATACTTTCTACAACCAATCAAACTAAATCATTTGACTGACTTCATATATACAATCACATAATTTCTAATAGTATGAAATTAGTTCAAAATTTATAAATTAAAAGATCTAAATGATTTTTTCGCGGTTTTTTCTTATTATTAGTCTGTAATTTTCCATTCCTACTCTATAATATTATTTTATATGGAATATTACACTAGGATGTTATCTTTTGAATACTTTGAGATGAATACAAAAGAAGCAAAAAGAAAATTGTAACGTATAATTACTATGATTTGCAACGGAAAATTTATTATCTGTCATTTGAACTGGAAGATAAAATAAGTCATTGGTACTTAGAGGCGTTCCGTATATGGTTAAATTAACTTCTAAAAAAAAAATCTTGAATGATTTTTTTTTTCTTCATTTTCAACGTTTGTCATCTAAAATATTTAATTAACTTCTTTATTCTGTAATAATACACAGCAAAAAATATATGAAGAAATCAAATATAATCTTAATTTAAATTTCTTTTTCTTTGACAAAACATGAAAAAATAATAAATTAAAAGATCTTAATGTTAAATATGATTGAAATTCTTATTCATTGTTGTTGGATTATTTGACATAAGTAATGGGTCTTCTATTGATGGACTTTGCTTGATTGATGTTAATGGAATATTTTCTAAATTTGGCTTTTTCATTGTAAAACCATTTGTATTACCATTTGATGTTAAATCCATTGGCATATGATATGTTGTTGGACGATCAGTATAAGTATCTCCATCACCTGTTGTAGTAATAGGCATAGTGTTTAATCTATCTTGATTAAAACATGAACATATTTTAAATAAACATGGAATTATTTGTTGAAATTCTTTACGAAAATTATCATTTAACCATGAATATAAAAATGGATTATAAACTGTTGATGACATTGCTATAACATGTGTACTTAAAAATAAAACTTTATAATGATTTAAGTCTGAACGATGAAATTCTGCAACCATATGAACAATATTTAATGGTAACCAACAAATAGCAAATATAACAACCATAGCAATTAACATACGATTTGTACGTTTTTTACGACAAAGTTCAACTTCTTCACGTATTCGTGTACGACCTGGTAATGAACGGCGTGCAAGTGCAACCCATACTTTATAATAACTAAATGATATAACGGAGAATGGAATAAGATATTGTAAAACTAATGACGAAAAATTAAAAAAACGTCTTGATGTATATTGTGGCCAATATTCCTATAAAATAAATAATAAAATATATATTTTAAACTTGATGTTCTAGTTAGTTTTCGTTTATTTTTTCTTTTTTTACTGAACCTACTTCACATTTTGTTCGATCAAATCGCATATAAATAGCTAAAGGTAAAGATATCGAAATACCAACGATCCATATAACAATAATTAATAATATACAGACACCTAAACGCATACGAGAACGAAATGGATGTACTATAACAAAATAACGATCAACAGCAATCGCTAGAGAAGTCAATGTTGACACATAAACTAGAAAGAAAATAGATAAGAGAAAATTCTGATCATATAAGTATCATCTTACCTGATATACCCAATGACATGGGTACTAAATGACATAGTATTCTACCAAGATGCCAAGTATGTCCATAGGCTGATATTGGCGTAAATGGTACAGCTAAACAACACATCTATAAGAAAATAATTTTATAAATATAATCATTGAATAATATTTACTTACTAGAATATCGGAAAGTGCTAGATTCGTTATAAATACATTTGTAACAGTTTGCATGGCTTTATTTCGACAAACAACAACTAACAAAAAGAAAATTTGTCGGTTTTTTTTCTTTTTCTTTAGTTAAAAGAAACATAAAAATACTTACAAATTACAAGAGCATTTCCAGATATACCAAAGAAAAAAATAAGTGCATATAATGATATAAATGTTGCCATAATTGGTGGACGATTTTCAAGTGGAATTATCTGTTCAGTTGTTGTACTTATTGGCATTGATGGAGTTCTTGCCATAGTAAAAGAAGAATTGAAAATAAATTGATTTAAACTACTATTTAATGTCATTAGTGCATATATTGATCTAAAAGTTAAAATCTTATATATATATGTGTATGTATACAAGATATTTGTGAGCATGTTCTTTAATGAAACAAAATAAACATAATGTTGCATAAAACTTACGAGTAGAAAAAAAAGTAAGAAGAAAAAAAGAATTCTTTCCTTGATTTCCGCTGTTATCGTGCTCGTTTAATGTTGTGTTTTCTTTTGTTAAATAATCATCTTCCTCCTTCTCATTTTTTTCTTTTTGTTTCTTGCTTCTTTATTTTTGGTCCACTATTACGATTAATGGATGGGTTCCGTGAATCTGCGACTGCATGCAAATGCGTCGAGCGTCAACGTCTTATCATTGGACTGTTTTTCTATGAGTTTTTTTGCTGTTTCTAGATTTCTCGCTTCTTTTTTTTCCTTTCTGTTTCTGACATAGAGAATTGATGACAACAACTAAAGATATGTAGAGAACGAGAAGATGAGAACTTGGAAAAAAGAAGAGACAGACGGCCCATTTGTCTACAGGCGAATAAAATCGAGTGTGAATGAGAAAGTGTCAAAACTTAACATTTGCGTGTGCATTTACACTCACGGAAGAACAAGAAATAAGATGAATGTAGTGAAAGATTGTCAGGAATAAAGCTAGATATTTTCTAATTACTTTAATGACAGATAGATACTATCACAAGTTTCAGATGATCTTGTCATTTTTCTAGGAAAAAAAAGGACACAAAAAAAAAAACTAACGAAACATCTGAAAACTTTGATAAACAAGAAAAAGAACTAAAAGTTGATGTTTCTCAATAGATAATTCGTTTACAAGCACTTACAGAAGACAAGAAAAAAAAATAGATCATGCGAAATTAATGCAAATATAGAGCAAAACAAATTATTTAATATATTTTATCATGTTTTTTTTTCTATCAACACTAAATATCGTTGTTCAGAGCCTATCATGAGCTAAAGTCAAAAACAAGGACTACTAATTCTTTATTTTCTATTTAAACAATTACACTGTCTTACTGACAGAAAGTTGACGTAGTAGTATCAAGTTTTGATTCTTGTGCATGCATGCGAGCAAAGTATAAAAAGATATAAAGAAAAAGAGACATCCATTTTCAAACTATATATTGACTTCCCACAGAGATTAGAAAGTACGTCATACATCTTATGTGATGATGCGAGGAATACTTCCATTCAACAATTGCTCCTTTGCTTTTAATTGTCAGTAAAAAAAACGAAGGATTATCAAGATTTTTTCATATTTATGTATTCTTTTAATAGTTTGTCTAATTAATTCAATCTCAAAATAATGATACGACACTTAAACATAATTCGAGTTTATACATCAAGCCTATTAGATAATAATTTTACTTGGAAATACAATTTTTAAATATATTTTAAGAAAGAAACAAATAGATTACGATGTAAGATAAGAGTTATGATGTAGCAAATCTAATGAATTCATTTTTATATAACTTTAATTCAACGAAAATTTTCCATTGCAGAAAACAAAATAGAACAAATATTAACGATGTTGTTTACACAGATCAATGTGATTACTTATGTAAAAATAATTTCTCTATGATTGAATAAATATGCATACCAACAACAAAAACATCAGAAATTATTTGTTTTTTTTTTTTCTAAATAGGAAAAAATGTAGTTACACTTATTAATAATGTCTTTGAAATGAATCTGATATATTTGATTTATAATCTTGATGACGGACGTGTCCGTTAAGAATTCAGTATGAAAAAAAAATGGTCCATTACATAGAAAATAATAGTTTTCTATCTATTATGACCCTCTTTGCGTTTATCACATGTTAATATCGAAAATATTTATGTTAAATTATAAATGCCATATGAACTCAGATATATAAATACGACGAATTCGATTATATATCCGTGATTATTGATGCAAATAATACTATTAATAAAATTAAATAAAAAAAAGCAAATCTTTTTCAGATCACTTGTCTCGTTTGTAATGATCTTTGACTGTTTTAGAAAAATTTGTTATTGTTGTAAACGTCATTGTTGTAATAAATAAATAATTTTCATGCACTTAATCATTCATATAACACATCATGTAATCTATCATTAAGGAAATTTTTGTATGATAGATGAATAAAATGAATTAGAAATATTTAAGAATACAAAATGGTTTCTAAATTTTTAGATTAAAAAAAAAAAAGAAGTCAATAAAACATTCTCATGGTCATATTTAAAATGATGATTGTTCTCTTTTAATCTATATAATACTTAATTCAATATATTTAATTATCCTTCATGTAAAATTTACTATTTCTATTCATTCATGAAAAATATTGTTCTATATATTTTACAAGGAAACATTCAGCTTTATGAAAAACACATCTCGATAATAAAAAGAGCTTTAGACAAATGACTTCCGTTGATTTATAATTAGATGTAGAGAAATGCACAAGCATCGATTCATATTGAAACACAAATAATCCCTCGATAGCTTTTTGTTCTTTCAAAATATTCATGCTATGTTGTACTTCAAATAAATAATAGTTCTTGGAAGTCTATTGTAATTAGGAAAAAAAAAAGAGTACATTTATCATTTTATTTAAATAATTGAAAAATATAATAGAGAACTATAAGCAAATGAAATTGTAACGAAAGAAACATAAACTTGAAATAAAATTGAAGGATCTTAAATTTTATTCATCTGTCTTTTTTCATTTGATCTCTTGAAAATCATCGAAATAATAATATTTAATATTCGCTATAGTTTAAATTTCCAGTAGAGTTTCTGTTTAACATATGTTAACGAATAATATGATCAAATTAAAATGTCAAAGAACAACGGTTTCTTAAACATAGAACATATTGTTATGACTGGAAATCGATGGAGCTAAATTTTTTAGTTTTGATTTCAGTCATGGAAAGTTTGATCTGGACTCGGCTTCAGTGCTTTCTTTCGAGTTCCATTTCGAAAAAAAAAGAATATTTCAGAATCTATTTGCAACAAATGTAAAATCACTTTTAAATATTAATTGGCAAGATAATTTTCTGCGAATCGTAGAATAGATAACTACAATTTCTAGTTCTCGTGCTCTCACTTATCTCTAGTTACGATTTATAAATTCTCTATTGGCATAGTTTTGCTGTATAGTATAGATTCTCAATTTACAAAGCAAAACTGTTCTTAATCATACTGAAGTGACTGACTATAATATAATGATGATTCGAATTTTGTTGAAATTATCTGATATACTCTTAATACAAAAAATTGTTCAAGTTTCAATTATGTGTTCTTATAGTCGATTTCATTTCTATCTATAGAAATCCATTGATTTATTTTTCTGCAAAAATTAAATATATAAAAGAAAATATCCATGGAAATAAAAAAAAATGACATTATGGAAAATGAAAACAAGCGTGCATACATGTACTGATCAATATAAATGTTCTATGAAAAGCAAATAAGAAAAACAAAAAAAAAATTTATACAGATGTTTGAACATTTTTACATTTGCCATCACGATATGTCTCCAATGATGTTTCACGATGCATTAATTGTTCAGCTTCTTCCTAGAAAAAAAAAATAACAAAAAATTTTTATTAGTGTTATTTTGTTTTTCAATTTATAAATGTAAAAATTGAATTAGATTATAGCAATGGTGTTAGAAGAATAAAGCTGAAGAAGAAATTACACGCGATATATGCATTATTCAATAAATCATCTTTAGAATAACCTACAATAAATATCATCGAACTGTTTTAATGTTTTTTATGTCATTCAAACAAATTAACTGATAGTTTTGGTAGAATATCCTGTAAACAATAGTATGCATGCATGTGAATAATTCTTAGTTGAAAAAACAAATTTTTTTTCCGTTTAAAGAAGAAAATCAACGTCCTTTTTTCTGGTTTAAAATCAAGAATAAAACTTAGTTTAAAATTTACTCTTGCATTGACTGATGTTTCCTCTGGTGATATAAATTCATCAACCACAATTAATGGGATACATGATTGATTCGAATGATCAATCGACAAAGAACCATATTTTTGTTGTTTTGATACCTAGATAGAAGGAAAGATTAATGCAACATGCCACTAAGAATTTAATTGTTATAATAGCGTATGTCATGCGATTGTATATTTCACAGACCTCTACTATATGTGATAAACTATTTTCTAATGTATCACGATTAGAATTATCAGTTTCATTTGCTGATAATGTGAATGAGACATCGGTTGGTGGCTGTATTATTAGAATTATTGGTATTAAATAAATGAACTTTGTTGAAAAAAAAAGAAGAAGAATAGTTACTTGTTCGTTTTCATCATTTAAACCCTCCATAATTTCTGGTATATAAACATTTCGAGGAGCTGAAGAACGACGAATTCGATCAAGTTTTGTTCCAGGTAAAATATCATCAAGCCAATATAATTCTTCTTGAGTAAAGATTTTATCCATTAATTTACGTACAAAACATGTTCCTAATACCTAATATATATGATTTTTTTTCAAATTTTTATTTTAGTAATTTAAATTTACTAATAATGGAAAACCAATTGCAATGGATTTGATACTTTTTAATGCAAACATGCCAATAAGTGCAAGAATTTGTATAATAGTAAATAAATGAACACGTGTTATTCGTACATGTCGTAAATAGGGATAATCTGGTTGATATTTTGGTGGCATAAAAAATAATAAAATACGATCAAATATCTATGAATCACAAAACCATAATTAAAAATTCAAAAACAAAATACAGATCATCATTTACTAACTTGCATATGACGTAAAGCAGAAACACCCATAAACATAAAAACACCATAAAGAACCGGCATTGGAATATGCTAAAAAGAATTAATCAGAAAAATTATATCAAATCTCGTTAATCTAATAAAATAAAACGATAATAGACACTCGAAAAATATATTATTTAAACGTCAGTTTATTATGGACGAGGTATAAAA